TCCTACTGCCAGTGTAGAGCTACTACAGAGAAAGAGCAGGTGTAGAACTACTTCAATAAAAAAATACCTACAAAACAAAAAACCCAATATACAATATCTGAAGTTCATGCTTCCATGAGAAGGAAAAAAAATCACAGACTGCCTTACATAGTCTGAATGATCCAAAGGAAAAGTACATTTAATGGATATAACCACATCACAAGTTTGAAATGGTATTTTGCTAGAGCTCCAGAGAATTCAGAAACTGACTGCGTGGAACCTCACACCCAGGCTATTTTGATAAACAAAAGTAAGTTGTGAGTTCTCACAAAGGGCAGAGAATGGAAATCACAGAAAGCAAGCTTTATACACCTCAAATACATAAAACCTTAAGCCTTTTTCTTACATAAAAGTCTGTGGCGAAAGTAAAAGATACTGACACTCAGAATGACTGGAATCTTCAGATATTTAATGACAGAATGATGAACAATCTAATTTTTCTCCTTCCTGTGAACTTGGTTTGCAAGAAAAAAAAATAGCTAGATTAAATAACCTATTCTGCTGGGAATAAAGAGTCTGAGGCACAATTTGGTCTGTGTGGAACAGACAGAATAGGTGGTACAACACTTATTCTACAGGTATTCCCTTTATTCTCAAGAATTTCTAGTGGCAACGGTCTTCCTTTTAAGAATTCCTTCTATCAAAAGATAGGCTGAGCTTCAAGGTGTAAATGTGTATTTTTAAGTCATGAAGCATCAATAAAGATATTGTATTCATGTTGGCAGACAATCACAATACATCTCATTTGATATATATTGTCCTAGTTTTTCTACTGAGAAATTGAAGTGCAGAAAACTGAAGAAACTTGTTTAATATGGAGCACTTAAACTGCAGAGGGCAGGAGAATTACTTCAATTTCTTCTGCTTTAGCTTCAAAGTTTATTCTACCTAATAAAAGCGAACAAAAAAAAGCTCAGCTGACTATTAAATTAATAATTGTACAGGGCCCTGGACTTAAAGTTCTGAGGAAACATCATTCTAACGACAAAAAAAAGTCCTGAAAAAGTCCATTTCATCTTTCTTAAGCCTTTTTAGAGTTTAGATGCCACCCTGCTCAAATCACATTAGACTTCTAGAGGGACTATTAAGTAGAAGAGAGACAACAATGGACAGCATGGAAGCAGGGCTATTACCTATGACACTGAACATTGTCTGGATGTCATGGGGTGAAGTCTAGCCAATTACATCAAGTTAAACCATGAGTAGATATACTAAGCTAACTCATTAAAAGGCTTTATATCTGCTGAGAAAACAAAGCAAAGCCAATTATGCACATGGAAAAGAAGCAAAGCATAGATGAACTTTTAACTACTTGATATCTCACAAGTTGCAACAGCAGATCAAAAGGCAAAAGCCATCCTGGTAACAGCAGCTAAATCCCTTCAAGTATGGAGAAAGCCAAAGATATTGACCTGCAATGACAAATGAGGCCACCAGCAGCTTACACTGACCATAGCAGGTTGAAATCAATAGAGAGCACAACTGCTTCCTGTGGGGATCACATCCACAAAAATCCAGCACTGTGAAGAAGGGAGGGAGCCTGAGGCAGAAGTGCTACACTAGAGGCAGGCTCAAGCCAAGACTCAAAACACCTCAAGCATCTGGAACAAGTGTCCTCCAATCAGCACCACATACCACATACTCACTTTTCCTCTTACACAATAAAGGAACCAAGCTGTTCTTCAGCTGTCGGTAATTGCTCAAAGTATTCCTTTCTACGGAGGGAAAAAATACTTCTCCAGTTAAGGTTAATACCTGAGTAACACCAGTCTGCCTCAAACACTTTTTAGTCTTTTAGCTAAAGACCTAGAAATATTCCTAAGTAACTCTGGAAGTAGAATCAAGATTTTTAAAAGGAATACAAGGGATATACTGCTCAAGTTAAGGTAGTGAATAACCCCAAACTACCTTTGATGACTCTTTAGGTTTAAGTTTTACATTAAAAGCAGTCTTCTCCTAGTATTTTTATGGACTTCTCTCCCTCTTAAAACTGCAAGATCTTGAACCAACTGCTACTTATAGGCATGGAATGGCAGTCACACCTCTGGCACACTAAGTCACCAACTACACAACACTCCCATCCAATTTTGACCCATCGAGCCTAGAGGCAAAGAATATTAACAGAGTAGTAATTCTACTTCAGTTCAATTAGGGAAACATGACATCTATAGTTTAGGTATTTCCATTTTTACAATTATTTTGTGGATTCAGTGAACTCAATACAGCGTTGATGTTATTTAGTATATTTACCTATTAGAGATAAAGACAAAGACAGTGAACTGATAGTATATTTGTATCCACAGATTTTGTGTTTTCAGAAAAAGCTTTAGTTCTATTTTTACACATCACTGTAACAGTACTAGAGACAATATTTAGTATTTGTGTATTGGAAGTGTCTCTGTTCTTCCACTAGTGGTTACAGTCCTCATAAAGAAGAATGAGACAAGTGTGGCTAAGAAAATTCCACCTGTTCCAATCAATACTGGTTCTGAATTTAAAATACCCAAACTGAAGTCTGATCAAATACAGATAACCTCTGTAAAGACATTATTTAGCTGATAAACACCTGAAGTAAAATCAGGACTTTAACATTAATTTCCTCATATGACATTTCAAACAGGTTCTCATTCCTTGATTCAAGAATTTTTATCTTTAATACCCTTTCTGGAAAAAGACATGTTTCCCAATTCCTCAGATCACTTACTTACAATAGCAAAGAAGTGAAAGCTTGAAAAGATTCACCTATACTTCAAGACACAAGGAAAACACTAATACTCAGCTCCCATTTGCTGGTAGGCAATGAAAGAAGCATTATCATTCCTTTACTTCTATACTCTCACAGCATGAAAACAGAAGAAAATTAAAATCCCACTTTTGGATTTATTTCTCAATGAATATCACTTTACTGACACTAAGTCTTTCTAGTCCATACCTCATTTCAATTAAAAACACTCTTGCAGCTTTAAAGAGTAAGTGGCTCCCACTTTAATGAACCCTTGCACATGATTTCTTATTCATAAAAACCTTAGCAGGCAAATCATTCTGAGGGTCAACAACCACTTTTTAGCTCTGTTTTTATCTCTTAGCAATACAATGAAATAAGCACTTCTTGCAAGCTTTACTCTTTCTCAATGAGTGCTTTTCAAAATGGTTTCATTAGGCAGAAAGTGAGGGGCTGGTTTTACATTGGGAATCTAAGTCTATTCCTTCTGTCTGCACTCCTCCATCGACAAGAGGAAGTAATCACAGGAGATGCAACTTTTGTTGTCGTGTTGTGTTGTCTGTTTACAGCTTAGGTTGAGGGCTTTTAAGCAGTTCTTCCAAGAATCAAGAACTGTATCAAAGTATTGAGAAGCATATTCCTCATCAAGTTAGGGGAGCACAAACCTCTCAGCCTCTGCATCCAACCTCTTCCCTATCTTTAGAAAAGAAGTTTTCTGTCGTTTTCTCAGAGTAACTGTTTCTTCCCCAACGATTTTCCAATTGCTCTCTCAATTATTTAGAAAGCAATTCACACTTCGAGAATTCATAGGTGTGTGTAGTCACATAAAAGCGTCCATAAACAGGTTTTGTTGAGTCATCATTATCCAAACTGCAACATTACGTTGCCCAAAATAACAGGTAAGCTCTAAATAGGTGCATTTTCATCTCTCCTTTTCTTCCAATCCAAATCCTTACTTTTATGTCTCTTGCTTTCTCACTTATTGCTTTCTCACTTATTATTATTATTATTAACAACACCACCTACACGAACTGTACTCTTTATTTACATCAACTTTATGACCTTTTCAAAACAACAGTTTATGGAGTTAAGGGTAGTTTCAAATACAGCATTAAAAACACTGCATTGTCATCATTGTTCATCATGCTTTGAATTAAGAAACCTTGGGAGTTCATAATACAAATCTAGTTTTTCAGTTCTAGTTTTTCAACTTTTAAGTCAATCCTCTTAAAGCAATTAACCTTACAGACAGTACTGATGTTCCAGAAAGAAACAAAAAAGGTTTACTTGTAGACTAATATAAGTAGCAAAGGAAAATGTTATATTTACCTACAGTTTAAAGAGGATTAAGTTAATTTTTCTAGCAAGATGGCCTAAGCCTTCCCCATAGTGTTTAGAGTTCAGCCAATTTCAGGACAACAAAGAATTCAATTAATTATCTTAACGCTGAAAAGCAAAGGTTTGGGTAATAGCAGTGTGGATTAAAGAATCTACAGGACATCATCTTTTAAAAATAAAAGTTAAAACACATATGTTGTTACATGGCTTGGATAGTACCATATGGCTCTGGTACCATATGGCTATGAACATATGGGTATAGTTCACTTTTTAGTGAACAAAAAGAAGCAGGGTTACTGGTGCCTTATTTCACAAATTCATTCTGCTTATCTCAGTCACTAGGAAACTATTAGCGAGATACAATTCCTGTACGCTTTACTGTTACCACTTGAAACCATCATCTGGCTACTCAGAATTAGTAGCAGGTAACTACAGCATTACAAAGCTTATCTCAGGAACAAGCCCAGCAAAAGTAAGCCCACCACCCAAAAAAAAACAACCAAAAAAACCCCCAAAAACCCACCCTCAGCAAGCAGCACAGAATGTTTCAATCCCAAAGGATAGAGCAGAACAACAAAATAGAGCTCAGCCTACGTCTCTCTTTAGATTTGCAGTCAACTGCCGTAAACTGTCAGCACACTAGTAATCCTCTACAAAATGTATATATTAACTCGAGATAATGGGGACTGATCGGCCATGCCTCACATCATGAACACAACTTGAACTGACACAAAAAGCAACCATAACAGCCAAGCCACCCACAAACAGAAAACAGAGCTTGCTTTTTTTCTCCCCTCCTGCATACCTGGTTCCCACCAGACTTCTGAAGGGTTCCAGCAGCTGAATCAAAACATCACTTGCGTAAAGTGCACTAAATCCACTTCAGAATACAAAAGGATACAGCCTTAGTGCGCCACTCTGAGTCCCAATGGCCAGTATTTTCTGAACCGGATCAAATGCCAAGGCTGAAGGTTGATAGGGGAAACCATGGCGTACGGTCTAACGAGTCAGAGGATCGCAGTAATGATGGGTCAAGCAGGATACCAAAAATAAACAGAATCAATACTGTATGTTAGAAAACAGGATTCAGCGTTAATCACAATTTAAAAAGGAACTACAAAGCATTTAAATGACAGACTGAGAAAATCAGCTGTCTTACATGAACCAATTATAAACGATGTTTTCCAGTCATAATTACTCACTCATCCTTGAGCACCAAGTGATAGTCAGACTTACTGAAACTTAATTTGAATCCTACATTTCTTCTGTACAAAGACTGTAACAACTCAGCATTTTATTTTTTCATCTACTTCATTCCCTGAGTAATCCTATTTTTAGCTCTAACAAAGACACTAAACTATTAAAATGTGAGATCTGCCTTGCAAGTTTGGCAACAAAGCCAGACTTGCCATCAGAACTATTACAAATTACTAAAGACTTGCTTTTCTGAGAATCCCTTCAATTTCAACCTTATGGGCTCCACGTGACAGTGCAACCTCTCTCAGCAGGGAAAAAAACCAACCTGAGCTTGACAGAACCAAACTCTCACCCTCTGCTTTCCCCAAAGAGAACAGCCAGCCCCAGAATTAACAAAACCAAAAACCACGCCACCTCAACAATGGGATTCTCTCTTAATATGAAGCTATTGGCACTTCTAGCTTTTTGGTTAGCCAAGACTAATTTGGTAATTGACCAAGCAAGAACTCCATTATGCTTCTCAGGCTGCAATTAATCAGAATTGAGAACATAATAAAAGTGTCATCTACTCTCATTTTCACTATAAACACACACAGTATAAGCCACACAAATGCTAGCTTTTCCATTTCAAAACCTTTACTTTAAAACAGAGGTATTCCAGGATCTCATAAACACACAGCAAACTTTCGATATACTCCTTCTACTTAACTGAAGTTGCAGGCATACCCCACAACTCTCTGTATTTGACAAGCAAATAAGATCTAACTGACAACAGCTCTGCTCTCTTCCCCATCCTTTGTGACTACCTTGCAAAAGCAGCAGAAATGCCTGCAATACTAGAAAAAACAAGTAGGAGAATCCATAAACAAGCTCATCCATGTCAAGCTAGGCCACGGGTGCATTGCAAAGCTAAAAATGGGCATTGATATTCAAATCAGCTTTTATTCCTCTTGGTACAGCGCATGGTTAATTCGCTGCATCATTTTCTGAAATGTGCAGACAAACTGCAGTTATTGTATCACACACAAGCAAATAAATAAACAGGAACTTTGTCTGTAGAGAAGATTTGCAATAGCAGTATCGCAACTAGGCAACACAGCGCAGTGAAACCACCACAAACGACGACAGCCTTTTTCAGGCGTAAAGAAACAGGAAAAATGCATTTCCAAATAATGCAGAGCAACAGATCCCCTGTCCTTCGGGCCCATTAGCAGAGGCTTCTACTCAAATGCCGCGATAATCACATCTGCACTACAGCTAGGTATCACTCCTTTCCCCATCCATCCAACTCTTTCTACGAAGCCTTCATGAACATGGTCAGTATTACTAGAAGACGACAAACCCTGACACTCTCCAAGAAAGATGACTAGAGAAATGCAGCAAGACCTGTACAGCTACACCCGCCGCTTTCTTCCCTTCTTCACCTCCCGAAATACTGATATCCAACAAGTAAACAGGAGCAGAGGGCAGGCTCAGCAGGCTCGGCACGGAGGAGCAAAGCCCGCAGCGCCCATCGCGGCGGCGCGCCCCCTTCCCCGGCCGCCAGCCGGCTCGGGGCTGCAGCATTCATTCACCTTGCAGAGCTGGAAGTGCTCGGACTGGAGCGTCTCCTGGATTTCCGTCTCCCGGTTCCCCGCCTGCTGTTGCTGCGCGGCGGACGACGCCGAGGCGACGGCGGAGACCGCCGTCAGGCCGTCCAGCACCTTCCTGATGTTAAATTTCCTCATGGTCTTCGGCGGCGGCGCTCCCGCTCCCCCGGCCTCGCCGCCGCCGCCGCGCTGTCACCGCCGCGCCGCCCGCCCCGCAGGCGGCAGAAGAGCCCCCGTCGGGGAGGGCGGTGCAGGGGCGGCCCGCGATCGGGGGCGCCGCGCTCCTCCTCGTGCGCGGGGAGGGCGGCGAGGCGTCAGTCCGGCAGCGCAGGGGCGCTTCTCATCGGGGCCCGCGGGCTCGGAGACGCAGACTGGAGCCAAGCAAACAGGAGCCGGTCAGCCCACTAAGCGCCGCCACCGCCGGTCCCGACTCGCCGCCCGCGGCCGCTCCACGCCCCGCGCCCTGCCCTCCGGGGATCGCCCCGGGCCCGGCCGGCCCCGCCCCAGCCGCCCCTCCCGCCGCCGAGGCTTTGCGGGCTGCCTCGCCTCGGCTCGCCTCGCCCCTCCGCGGAGCCCCCGCGCCCCCTGCACAGCCCGCCTCACATCGTGGCAGCCGCGGCCGCCGCTGTCACCTGTCCCTACGTGTGTGTGCGTGTGTGTGTGCGCGTGTGTGTGTGTGTGCGCGTGTGTGTGTGTGTGCGCGTGTGTGTGTGTGTGCGCGTGTGTGTGTGTGTGCGCGTGTGCGTGTGTGTGCCGGTCCCTGCCCGCCGCCGCAGCCTCTCCCCCCGCGGCAGCAATCGCCCGCCCCGCGGCTAGGCTCAGGCACCCTCCGCCTCCTCAGAGCTGCGTGTGCCGCCAGCCAGTCACCAGCGGGGCTTCTCCTGGCTGCTGCCAGCGGCTGCTGCTGCCCGCCCCCACAACCATCCCCCTCCTCCTCCCCCTCCTCCTGCCGCGGAAGGCGCCTCCCCCGCCTCGCGGTCGCTCCCCCTTGCCTGACAGCACGGAGCGCAGCGCCCCGGGGAGGAGCGGCGGCGGCGGCGGCGGTACCGCGGCGCCGTGCCCAGCAGCGGCGGGGAGCCGCTCATGCGCGCTGAGAGCGCCGGCACCCGGATGTGGCGGTGCGCGCTCCCCCCGCCCCGCCGCGCCGTGCAGGGGCCGGGGCGGCGTGCGGGGCGCGGGTGGGGCGCGGCGGGGCGGTGGTAGCCGAGGGTTGGCCTCCGGCCGGGCAGGGGCGGCATCGGGTAACAGGTGGTGGCGGCCGGAGGTCGCTTCTGCCGTGGGCAGCGCCACCCCTGCCACTGGCGCGACGCCCGAGGTGCACGGCGGCTGCCGCGGAGCCGCCCTCTACGCGTATTTCCCGCGGGAGATCCCCCGGCGGCGGGGCCGGCGGGGCTGTGCCTCATCCCGGGCGGCGGGGCGGGTGTCGGCCGGGGCCGGGGCAGCGCCAGGCGTTCCCCCGTGGTGGTGCCGCCCTGGGCGGCGGCCGGGCAGCGGGGCCGCCAGGGCCGGGGGAGCGCAGAGCGGTGGCGGGGCTGAGGACGAGGAGAGGGGAGGTAGCGGAGGGGTGTGTGTGAGCCCCCCGTACCCCTCACCCCGACCGCCGTGCTGGGGATGTGGCCCCGGCCTGGGAGCGCCTGCTGAGAGTGGCCTAAAGGGGCCAACACCGCCCGGGCGGAGGCACAGCCAGTCCCTGGCGTCGCCAAGCGAGCGCTGGGATTACGAAGGCGTTTCCATTCGTTCTTACGGCTGAAAGACCAATGTAAACTGGTGGCACAGTGTAAAACGTTTCTTTCTGATAACCGCTGTTGTACGGTATTCTGTGCTCTGCTTTTATTTTTCTTTTAGTACTAGTTTGCATTTTTGGATTATCTAGTCAGTGGTCAGGTAACAAGTATTACTTGTCTTAATCGTTGTTAAATTGGTGGAGATAATTATTGTTTGTGACTCATTATGGAACTTCCTTTTCAACTAAAATCAACTGGAAGATCAATCATCACTTTTGGAGGGAAAACTTGTAGAGGTGTGATTCAAGACACTGGCTGTCATCTCCAAGCTACAGCATGAATGCCTTAGCAGTAAAAGGCTCTGCACACTGTAAAATGGTCCTTTCAGATGGTGTTTCCAGCCTGATAGCCATCCATGCTTTGTTAGCACAGTAAAGGTCATAGTGCACCGAGGGATAAGCATAATTGGAATGCAGTGAAAGAGCTATGATGCAGCCATCATCATAATCAGAAGTAAAAAATCCACAAACTCTTCTTAGACCTGTAAGCCCATGTTAATTTACAGCCATATTGCCAGCAGGTATACCATGTATAAGCATTTGAAAGAAACCGAGACAGTTCACATATTCTTGCAAAGTGAATACTACACAGCTGTTCTTTTGTGCTACCAGGACTGTAGTACATCTCCTGAAATCATCTTAGTAAAATGTGAAAGAATGCTTCCAGAGATGGCAAAAGACCTAGAAATAGAATAATCAGACTTAATTAAGGTTCAGTAAGTATCTGATATAAAAATCAACTTAATTTTAAAAGACACGTGTGCAATTTCAGTGTGTCTTTAGTTATCTGTGACATATTTTAGTTAATGTATATAAGTTACAGTGTAATGTCTATTTTCCCATCTGCTCACTTGCGCCTATTGTAACACAATAAACTGGGAAAAAAGCTTGGAGAACTTGGCCATGTTTGACTGAATGGTAAATACAAACTTACAGGTAAAGACATATACATGTATAACTTTGAGAATGTAAGTTATAGTCCATTTGAGTCCTCTTGTCAGTATGTGTTAGGCCAAGCCCTGCAAAAACTCGTAGTTACAACTTTGATAGCGCAACTAACCTCATTATTTATAGTAATATTAATCATCCTCAAACAGTGGCTGACGAATTAAAGGACTTGAAAAGCCCACTTTTTTATATTACAATTTCTTTCCTTTTCTTACCTTCTATGTGCTTGGCCCATGAATGCATTCTTTAATTGGACTGTACATTTTTAGAGGAGAGACTGGATTGGATTTTCTGTTTACCTTAGCACGTACCAGGAAGACCCCATTCATTATTGCAACATTGTATCTATACTTGCAAACATTTAGGCAAATGATACAATATGCACAAGTTTGAGAGGACAGCAGTTCTCTTTCTTCAGACTTCCTCGTTGATGCCATTCAACAAACCAATGCTCCCTGGGACATCAGAGCTCTTCCTGTAAAAAATTTTAGAGTAATTTCCTCTAGAAAATTCATGAAAAAAAAATCCCTGGGTTCACTGGGATGCCAGTGGGAACAGTAATAGGCCTTTTAATTTTATAGTTCAGCGAACATCCACATTATCTCACAGGATTTAGCTGCTGTATTTGAGAGCTTCTTTGGGGCCTCCAGTTCTTACACAATAACCACATCCTGTTTACAAATGAGACCATTCTGCTTAACCTCCTTCATGTTAACCTTCCAGCCTCTGATGTCTGAAATTTCTTTCCAGTGTTTTATACCCCAGTCCAAAGTCCAAGTGTCTTGCATAGCTGGGCAAGAAGCAGTCAGACCCAACTAGTTTGTTAAATTTTTGTTCTCAGCTGTGGCAGAGTCCAGCTGTGACAGAGCCGGTGTTAAATATTCACAACTTGCTTGGGCCCCAGCAGTGCCATGTGAATCCCTGCCACAAATGAATCCATTTGGCTCTGGTCTTCTTTGCCTGCCTATTGGCTAACACTGCTAGAAAAGGAGAGAGAGGATCACCTGCTCATTTCTTGATCAGTATTCTACAGATACCGCATAAATAGCCACTGTTCCTAATAGTTTGAGGCCATGGGGAACTTCTTCCTGGGGCATGAAGTGTTGGCCTAGATACCAATGCGATCCTACAGACCAATGGTTGGTGCAGGTCAGACTTGTTGGGTCTTTAGCCTCAAGATAATCACAATAACTTAACTGCAGAGTGCAGTCATCACTGTGCTTATGAGCTTTTGGGGGTTTTTTTTGTGGTTTTGTTTTTTGGTTGGTTGTTTTTTATTTGGTTTTGGTTTTGTTTTTTGTTTGTTTGTTTTTGCTGCTGATGCTTTTGAGAAAGCACACAGGATCACTCTTGAGGAGAAAAGACTACACAGAAAGAATCGTGCCTTGCAGAATATACCACCTAAGGAGTCTTTCTGCTGTGCCTTTTGCAACCGGACGTGCCTGCCTCATATTGGCCTTTTTAGCCACCAGCGCGCTTGTAACAAACGTGGGTAGAGCCCTCCCCAAATCTTCATTCGCGAAACCTAGCCATGATGACTGTACCACCAGTGTTAACCTGAAGAAGAAAGAGAATGATAGTAGTCCCACACGAGGCAGAAGGAGTAAAAGCCCACCCAGTTATAATGGATGCTAAGAGTTGGTGGAATAATCCAGAGCAGTGGTTAGGTAATGAAGTGACAGGTCCACACATATTGTTTGTCATACTTTGTGCATAAGCTCCAAAAGCATTACCGGTTGTATCCAGAGAAGGCAGTGTACTCCAGGTGATTTGCACACCATAATAATTATTACAATACTCAGCATAGATGAGAAATGGACCATCGGAAGTGTCCTGAAGATCTCTGCTTGGTCTCTAACTGCACTAAAGCTTTTGAAAGTCAGTCAATCCAGGCTTTGAAGACTAAGAAAGATGCTTAGCTTTTCTGAGAACTTCTTAATGGTGCTTAGTCACTCACACTGCAGTAAGGATCGACTGAGCCCTAGCCAAACATTTCCTTGCTATAAATAGAAAGAAGCTGGGAAACATTTCTGGAGTAATCTTATTCAGGTTGTTCTACTCAAATGTATTGGACAGGGCAGTGTAACCACAGCTCCAGTGAGTTTTGGATTCTTTCCTGCCTGCTGGGAAGCTGCTCAAGCTTTCTAGACTCAGAGCTGTTGCCAAAAAAAATCTGTGATTTTTTTCCCCCAATAATCTGCATTGGTGACAAATCCAGCTACAGGTGAGGGTTTTTTGATGTTTCTGCAGCTTGATTTGAATAAACCATGAACAAGAAGGAAATTAAAAGCATGTGTCAATTAGCTCATCAGTTCCTGGAAAAAAAAGCTATACTAGTGCTTGGGATAACCACAATTGGAGATGAACTGTCTATGGTTTGTAGATTCACTGATTTCAGAAACATCCTGATTGACCATGGCTATACCAAAATGATAAGTTTCTTCATTTGAAGCCTGTGTGGTCTTTGGCAGGCACACAGATCATGGAGCATCCTTAATA